CACAGGATCTAAAAAGATCTTGACAGACCTCAACAATGGGCCCTATCCAACAACATTTGAAACTTAATGCAGAGAAAAGAAAGGATTTACACCTGGGCAGGAAAAAACGAAGGTACATTTACAGATGAGGTGAAACATGGCTCAAAAACAGTGCCTGTGAGAAGGACCTTGGAGTCTTAGTGGACAATCCCTTGAATATGAGTCAGCAATATGTAGCAACAACCCAAAAAATCCAATGCAATCCTAAATTGCATTCACACAGGGATACAATCAAGATCAAAGGAGATACTACTACCGCTGTATAAAGCCTTAGTAAGGCCACACCTAGAATACTGTATCCACTTTTGGTCACCACACTGTAAAAAAGAGGTTGAGACTCTTGAACAGCGATGGCGAACCTTTTTGTTGTGGTGTGCCGAAAGCGCGTGTGTGTCAGCACCCACAATGCAATGCACCCCGCCCCCCTGCGCATGTGCACACACACCCCTAACTGCACTGCGCATGCTTCCCAGCTGATTTTTGACCCATTTGAGGTCTTGTTCGCCCTCCTGGAGGCTTGTGAGGCCAAAAAACATACGATGAACAGTTGCAGGAACTGGGCCTAGAGGACCAGGGGAGACAGGAGAGCATCTTCCAATATTTGAGGGGCTGCCACAGAGAGGAGGAGGAAGGGGTCAAGCTGTTTTCCAAAGCAGCTGAAGGCCAGACAAGGAATAATGGATGGAACCTGACCAAGGAGACATTCAACCTGGAAATAAGGAGACACTTTCTGACAGTGAGGACAATCAACCAGTGGAACAGAAGCTGCCTTCAGAAGTTGTGGGAGCTTCATCCCTGGAAGCTTTCAAGAAGAGACTGGACTCTGTCAGAAATGGTGTAGGGTCTCCTGCTTGGGTGGAAGTGTTGAGGATTGAAGATGACCTATAACAGGGGTGTCAAACTCACGTCGTTACAATGTCACTTGACCTATTGGGACATTTCCCCTCTTTGTTAAACAGGGCTTGGGTGGTACCAGGCGTGATGCATCCAACCCATAGGCCCGGAGTTTGACAGCCCTAACCCAGAAGTTCTGTTCCAACTCTGTTATTAGGTATTCCGTATTCTATTCTAGAAAATTCTTCCATCCAACGCCTTGGTAGACATTCCCAAGGCTCCAGTTTAATTAAAACCATGACGCACTTTCCCACAATTAAGTTGGCCATCTTGTGCAAACATCAAAGCCAAGTCTCGACATCTCAAGCAGAAAAAAAGCCATCACAGGTTTCAGAGACAAAGCAATTAAAAGGGATTTACTCAGAACTTGGGAAAGGTGAGAAAAGGCTTTGCAACTTCCAGGGCAAAATGCGACGGATTGGATTCCTGATCCATCCTCCTAACCGGCAGGAATCCAGTCCTGCTCATCTTAAGCGGAGAAACCGAGAACCCAGACTGGCCTTGGGAGAGACAAGGGTGGGGTTTATAGCAAGCAGGGATGGAGTCAGGTGTGAGCTCCTATAAACATTTCCCCCTGTGTTTGGACATTAAAAAATGCACATTAAGCTCCTTTTGTTGGTTTCAAATCATATTCTTTTTTTTAAAATTTGGGGCTAGGGCCACAGTTGGGCCTCAAGGCAGTGCCCCTCAACAGTGCCCAAGTTACAATAATCCAAAAGTAGTTCTCCTAATGTCAATTCTGAACCTCTCTCTTTTGTTCGGATTTATTGCCATACTAGCTCTATACCTGTGCTTCGCTACGAAACTATGTGATCCGGCTTAGTTTTGGGGGAGGAAAATAAGGGGGGGGGGGAATTGTGCCTCTGCCTACCAGCATCCATTGGGGATTAGCGTCCTGTCAGTGTGCAAGAAAGTTGAGGGCTGTTTGGAAACTGAAACAGTATTTTCTGTGCGAGCAAGGAGGAGACAGCAAGGAGCCTGGGGGTGGCTTAGCTCAACTGTTCTGTACTAAAACTGCTTGGTGCTATGAAACTGAAACTCCTCTGCTTGTGTTTTGCATTTAGAAGAGTTTTCTTTTTAGGTGGGGAGGGGGAGTAGAACTCCTTAGCATCAGAGCATGTTGTTGTTAATAAAATAATAATAATAATAATAATAATAATAATAATAACAACAACAACAACAACAACTTTATAACAACAACTTTGGAAAAAGAAATCGTGTTATCTTAATTGTAATTGGAGCCGTTGGAGCAATACCTAAAGGATTGCCTCGCTATTTGGAAATTCTGAATTTATCAAACTTGAATACCCTGATTCTACAAAAAACCACCCTACTTGGAATAGCTTATATCCTCCAATGCTACCTAAACAGTTCCTAGATCCTTGGTTAGGACTCGAGCTGTTGAACTACCAACCAGCCCCAAAGGATGTGAATCTTACTAAAGATTAAATAATAATAACAACAACAACTACAAACAACTACAAACAACTGACTACAAACAACATCACAACACAGTTGCTCAGATGGTCCACTGGAACTTGTGTCACGACTACCATCTGCTTGTAGCAAAGAACTGGTGGGATCATAAGCCTGAAAAAGTGGTCGAAAATGAGCATGCAAAACTACTGTGGGACTTCTGAATACAGACTGACAAAGTTCTGGAACACAATACCCCGGATATCACGATTGTGGCGAAGAAAATAGTGTGGATCGTCGACATTGCCATACCTGGTGACAGTAGAATCAACGAGAAACAAATTGAAAAAGGCACCAGATATCAGGATGTGAGAATCGAACTGCAGAGACTCTGGTATCAACCAGTGCAGGTGGTTCCAGTGGTACTGGTTCCAGCACACTGGATGCTGCTGTGCCTAAAGACCTAGGCAAGCACTTAAAAACAATTGGTGCTGACCAGATCACTACTGGTCAGCCGCAGAAGGCCACCTTACTGGGATCTGCTTGCATACTCCGCCGATACATCACACAGTCCTAAACGCTTGGGAAGGGTTCGACTAGTGATTTGTGATACTAAACCCAGCATAGTTATCTCATTTGCTGTGTACACTGTCATTTTTGTGAATAATAATAATAATAATAATAATA